ACGCGGCGGTGGGTAGCCGAGCCAATGATACGGTCGGTGCTGGTGAAGGCGTAGCTCACGGCAGCGCAGAGGTGTTTGCTCACCTGCTGCCAATTCTCCCATCCACCCAACAGAGCGGCCAAAAGGGCTAGCGCAAAGGGCTCCAGCGAAATCAGGGCTGGCAAATGCTGGTTGATGTGAGAAAAAAATGTTATATACATAGGTGTGGCTTGATATAGAAAGTATTGACCATGCTACCGAGGTGGACCTTCGTTTCGATGTCATGCTGTTTTGACGTTCCTATTCATGAGTGCTATGATTCAAGCGAAAGACCATGATCGACTTGGCCAAGTTCAACAATTTAAAAAAGATTTACAAAAAACACTTCTCAGTGCAAAGGGCATATGTGAAGGACATTATCAAAGTCTAGACGCGAAAAAGTAAGCACGTAAAAAGAGTGCTTACAAAACTTTGTGAAATTGGGATGAGGCGATGGTCAGAAATGCGTCCGCATACATATAGTTCATAAAGGTTAGGAGTAAATGCGGCCGCATATCAACTAATCCGTAATAGTCATTCCATCATAACTTGTTCTGGATTTTTATTTGATTTTTGTGTAATTTTTTTCCATTAATTTGGGCCCATTTCTGAACTAGTAGAGATTTTCCCTAAATGTACCTACAGGTAATGGCTTAAAACACGCGCTGTTATGGAACTGATGCTATACGCAAATCAGAGTATGGAACCCAATTTTTGAGTGGTCCGCGAGAACGGCCTGTGGGACCCATTGTGAAAATAATTGGATGAAGCAATAAATTGGCTCAGAATGTTTTGCCTCAGAGCAGAATTTGATCGGAAGAAAAAAACTGAAACATTCTGAAAAGGTAACAGGCCTTACCTGAAACGAACGAACGACGCGCGGTATTGTGGCAGGAGATTTGTTTTTAAGGAGATGATAAGCTTGGGGGATAGATTCTTCTATAATAGTTAAAACAGTCTCACGTCTGAGTCGGTAAAATTCGTGCCCAAGAAAAACCTACCCATGTGCTGTTTTTTCCTTTTCCGCGAAATAGTTTGTCAGATGAACGAAGGACATGCCAAGAAGATCCTGTCGAAATAAAAATAAATACACAAAACGTACAGGTTCGTTGTACTGGAGCACTTTGCAAACTAGTGAAGAAACCATCTCAGGAGGCAGATCCGATAAATAGGAGAGACTCTTCTTCAAAATGGTAGCCCTCACGGGTAGTTTAAAGATGCTGGAAGCGAAGGCATCAAGTATGGGCAACAGATTCTGCAAATTCCATCTGCAAACTCGAGATAAGGAGAAGGCGAGAAACCTACGAGACAGCACAGAGACGTTCACTTATGGACTCGGCAATATGCTCGGATCGTTCCAGTCTGTCCGCAGCGCAGGCCAGCGCGTCAAACAGCCTACAGGAGTAAATTGTAGACGAACAACTTACAGCCCCTTTTCAGCACACTGCTCTTTCAGCAGCTGAATGATGTGATGGGCGAGCCGTTCGAGCTTCCATTCTTCCATCTTCCGGATCTAATGGGGGTTGAGTAAGGCAAACTAGGCACGTACGCATTCAGTTAAAAAGACTGCAGTCGATTCACGATACTCCTCAGGCAGGCTGGTACGCCACAGGAAGTCGACAACAAATTCGCACACCTCAAGCAGCTCCTCGTGTACCGTGAGAGCTAGGGAAGTGCAGGTCAGCTGTAAGTCAGCACATACCAGAAAGGATGGTTTCTAGAGCAGTCAGTGAACTAGGACAGAATTCGGCCTGCCAGATGTCCTTCACGAGAGACTGTAACTAGAAGCAGAGGGATGTAAAGGTAACTAGAGAAAGAGAAAAACAAAGGCGACTTGGTCCTGGATGAGAAGGAAAAACAATGAGTCCAGGAGTAGTCCCATCCATCTAGGACTAGTTTGGAACACGAACTAGTTCAACCTGTCACGAAACAGGATTTTGGAAGCAGAGGACACCACAAAACAGGCTTGAGTATAAATAAGGAGGAGCTAATAAAGCTTTCATTCAACCTTAAATTAGATCATGACGTTGTAAACGGAGAAATTCAGTTGACTCAACTTGCTCTTAAGTACGATCCGGGAGGCCGAAAAATGATTTACCAAAATCACGAACGGTAAAGATAGCAAAAAGAGATGTGCATTCGATTTCTAGGGCGTATGGCTAAAAATTGCCCCAGGCATTCAGAAAAAAAGTATGCCTTAATCCTTGCAAACGCGGAGATACTGAAACAGGATAATAAAATGAAACCGGTGATGAATGGAGATATGCGGCACCGGCCAGATTGCGGTAGCACACTCATGCGGAGATAGGCTCGGCTTTTGCGTGCGAGCGCCGACTTCTCTACGAGTTTATGGATCAATCAAATTTTGGGCGCTTTAGTGATGCTTACGGACTCACACTTCGCCGAGTTCTCATACATGACAGGGTAACTCGGTGTGCGATGATGGGGTGATGTTGTTGGCTGAATGGCTCAATGACACCAACCATGATTAAACCGCATATTTGGCCTAGTTCCATAACGATATAAATATTAAGGTATGACGAGAATATACCGAAAGCAAACGTATACTCTCCGAATTATATTTTCAAGAAATAAATGCTGTTTATATGGTGTTCACATAGGGAGGAGGGCTCACATGCTTACTTGAAATCTAGGAAACGAAAGAGAAACTCCAAGTTTCTTAAATTGTGAATTTTGAAGATGAGCACGTGGATTTGAATGTGCTCATAAACAGAAAGTTACGTAACAGGATCACAGTGACTTACGACATTGTATGTCACGCTCGAAGCTTAGTCACTAGTTTCTGCCTAAATTAAAACTCCCCAACATCATCAGACTCTGCTACGTTCATTCGAGACTATACGTTAACGGATATACTTAGAACGCTGGCAATCATCAGCGGTGTATTGCACGCCTAGTGGCTGCAGCAACGGTTGCGCCACATTTGCTGCCGCAGTAAATCGGTGGCTTACCGCGGGAGGAGGTCATCTCCACTAATTTAAGTCCCCCAGCTCTTCAACGCCCAAATGTGCGCTGCGGTTTCCCTGTAGTCGCTAGGTGTTAAAATATGGATACATGTATCCATATTTTAATACCTAGCGACTACAGGGAAACCGCAGCGTACATTTGGGCGTTGAACAGCTGGGGGACTTAAATAATAGATTCTTTTGTATATATACATATATTTATATATATGTATATATACAAAAGAATCTATTATTTAAGTGCACATATATGTGCACATATATAAACAAAATAATCTATTATTTTTTTTCATTGCATAAGGGCTTATTTCTGACATAAACGTATGCGTCAAAATATAAAATATACCTGTGAACGGGACTTAGACATCAGGTTTTCTTCAATAGCTCCATCCTCACACCCAAGAAACTTCGAAAGCTCCGGCATTCTCGAAGACGCAAATGTGCCGCAAAATTTGCAATTACGTTTAACTGGGTGGTTTAAACAAAAACAAACCATCTAAACTTCCTAAATCTATGTGCTGAATTGCATTGTTATTCGTGATCAGTCAACTATATACCTCTTTTTAAGGAGCTGCTCTATAAAAAATCGTGTTTGATATTATATTATTTATTTCATATTTAGAATATTTACTTCCACGCAATCTAGTTACCAACGCAATGAGGAGCCTCTATTTCAGTATATTTCAGTGCGTTTCAGGAGAATAGGCATTGTCTTTCAAAACCTTTTACAAAGAGTACACAAAAATATTGGGCCATTAAAGATATATAGATTATTATAAATGAAGGTCTAACTTACGCCAGATGCCTCTGACACCTCAAATATACTTTTAATTTGTTTATTCGCATCTGCAAAGTATTTTCATAACAGTGAGACTGAAAAACCATCCCTCTTAGAAAGTGGAGGTTTTATCTGTCAAATACTAAATATCATAAATAATAAATAAAATAATAAATAAAATTATCTTTATGTATAAGCCAAGCGTCGGTATTTTTTGAAAATTGCATTCCTCTCCCGGTGCACAATATATTTCAAATTAATATACGGCATGCTTATGTTTAAATGCATCGTGTCCGCATTTATTTCATAATCGGAAAGTTCGTTTTAGGCACCAACAATTCGCTGTGAAAACCAATGCGATGAACAGGTAGGATAAGTTTCCCCTTAGTATGAGAGAAATCCCGCGCAGTTTAGTTCCTTTCCTGATTGAAATTTTTCCAGTTGGCCTATCCTTCAGGCTTTTTAAACGGGAATAGCCACCGTGTCATTGAGAAGAAAATTGAGGTGTTGCTGCAATAATTCTATAGCCTGTTGTATTTCGCCTAAGGCACACTTAGACATGCGCTTATTACGAACAGTTAGAGCTTCCCGTTGACGTTTTTTTACAAATGGACTATATTGTACCAATTTTATTTCTCGTCATTGTTTTTTAAGTATAGTTTCCGCATGCTTCCTCGTTTAGGAAGGTGTCTTGGCCATGTGATAACTCCTTCGGTAGTGCGGTATTTTCCGGAATTGCGTGTTGTCTATGCTGCTTCGTACTGACACTCTAGCCTACTTTGTTTTGTCACGAGGGTGTGGACGTCTTTTACCGTTGACAACACTTTTCGTCAGCCTTTTATCGTATAAGAGACTGCAAAAGGGTTTTTATGGGCTCCGTGTGTGTATCGTCATCATACGCAGCCCAAGGTACAGATAAGGTTGTAGCGGCTCTACAGCCCACCGCTCCAAATGCGAGAAGACAATCTTGG